GGCTCGAATAATCGTACCTCCTCTTCCCAAATTGTCCATTTTCGTGCACAATCTGAGCGCGAATTCGGGAGAATTTACTGTACATATAGATCTAATATACAAGTAAATTGAGAGATATCGCGATTCTAACAGAAACTAATGTTCTGACAGAAATTATTATTACCTTGAACGTGTCCTGAGTCGTCGAGGTCTCCTCCGGAACGTCTTTCTCCAAATCCTCGACCATCCTGATCAACCTTCCCTTCTCCTTCTCCACATCCTTCAGCTTTTGTTGAAGCTTCAGCACGAGACCGACGTCCACCGGTGCGTGGGCTGGTCCGTTTGTTTCTGGAGGCGATTTCTGATTGTGTACCTCTCCGTCCGGCGGACTGTCCGAATGCTGCGGAGTCCAGTCGATCGTCTCCACCCTTGAATAGGGAGTTGAAGAGGATGCTGTTGACCGTACCGATCCGTAACCCAGGTCCTGGAAGATTAGAGAATAATGAACCAACTTGGTGTAGAGATAGTAGATTTTGGAAACTATTCTGCATATTACTAAACAGCGACACACGTAAAATACAATACGCCGAAGTCGTGAACCGTGGTTAAAAACCATGTTCATTATAATATAATTCTGCATCGTAAACCGTAATCGTAATCCTGATCGTAGCCGTGACTGTAAATCGTAATCGTAATCGTAACCGTATTCGTGAGCGTGATCGAAAATCGTGTGTCGACCTTCATCGCGTTCTGCCTCGTGCCCTGCGAGCGCATCCTTTTATTAGTGCGCTGGTCAACTGTTACGAGTCTTCTTTCGAATTTAGCCGTTTCGTTCGATCAGCGCCTAATGCCCGCCGATCAACCTAGCAGCGCCGCGATGTTTAGATCGCGATGCTTATGTATACATACGTTGCACGAGGTTAACGCACGGGAGTCCGCGAGCACCGATCGGTTGTTGTGATTTCGGAGGTCGCTCAGAAATCGTAACGTGTTCGCGGATGCTACATTGGGAACAGTCTTTAGCAAGAGTCGAAGAACTCGACGAGGAAATGAGAGCTTTTAGAGATCACAAGCTAAGTTCCAAGAGATCTTACCAAGTTCTGATCGTCCGTTGGAAGCTCCGTGGATACGATTTGTCCGCTGCTACTGGAGGCATTGCTGAGGGATCGGGAATGAGCCGGAACGTGCATCGCCAGCTTCTGCTCAAGCGTTTCCACATACTGTTCCCGATCGTGGTAATCCTTCAGCAACCTCTGATAGGCGCCACGATCCTGGTCCTGATCCATCAGCAGCAGGTCCTTCTCCTGCTCCAACCGATGCTTCAAGTTCTCCTCGGCGCCGCGCTGGTTGGTCTTCATCCTCTCCGTGACCACTGATAGCTCCTTCTTCAGCCTCTCTAGCTCCTCCTCGAGCTTCTTATTGTGTAGTTCCTTCTCTTGACTACTCTTCTCCTTGTCCTGAAACGAGCAAGATTTTCAGCACCGTCTGTCATCAATTTTTACACCGTCCTCGACTTCCTTCGTCAAGAAAATGATTAAGCGCATCGAAAATCTCTCCCACCTGCAAGATGTCCATCTTCTCGTCTCTCTCGGCCTTGATAGTCCCCTGCATCTTCTCCAATTCCTTCTCCTTCTCCAGCAAGATGATGTTTAGCTTCTTGTTCTCGGCGTCCACGGCCTTCAGGACCTCCAGTTTGTGTTTCAGCTCCGTCATCTCGTTCTGGACGTTCTTCAGCGACTGGTTCTCCTTCGACTAACAGAAACATGCCATACTCAGTTGGAAAAAGGTCAACTTGGTAAATTCCTGAAGTGATACAGTAATGTAAATAATTATAGACTCGAAGTAACTATTACGTTCTTAGTGATATTTAAACGAAACAGCAGATTTGCATATTTTTATATTAGAAATAATAGAAAATAGAAATATACAAATATGATATTTTGTTGAATTTTCGTTTAGACGTCGGTAACAATGTAAAAGTTACTTTGAGTCTATAATTACGTTTACACTAGTGGAAACGTACCAGTTCAGTGATCTTCTGTTGCAAGGTCATGATCTTCTTCTCCAGGCCCTTGTTCAGCGACTTCACGTGTTCCACGCTCCTAGCTTCAGCCTTCAGCCTCCTGAACACCTTCTTCGCCAGGTGCCTCCTGATGCAGGCCTGCACGATCACGATGTCCTCCAGCTTCTTCTTGCAAGCCATCCTCACGAGGTAGCCTCGAGAGAACCGCTGGATCGTGATCGCAGCGGCGTTGTCCTTCATCTTCTTGTACCTCTCCCTCGCCATCTTGCCTCTGCCGTACTTCTGGATGCCGATGATTGTGCGCTTGATCTTCAGGTACCGCTGTCTCTTCAGCCAGCCCTTCACGCGAGCTTGGATCTTTATCGCGGCTCTTTCTTCTCTCACNGAAATCACACTTACTTTGTTATATGATATTTTAACAAAAAATTTGCATATTTTTATATTAGAAATAATAGAAAATAGAAATATACAAATATGATATTTTGTTGAATTTTCGTTTAGACGTCGGTAACAATGTAAAAGTTACTTTGAGTCTATAATTACGTTTACACTAGTGGAAACGTACCAGTTCAGTGATCTTCTGTTGCAAGGTCATGATCTTCTTCTCCAGGCCCTTGTTCAGCGACTTCACGTGTTCCACGCTCCTAGCTTCAGCCTTCAGCCTCCTGAACACCTTCTTCGCCAGGTGCCTCCTGATGCAGGCCTGCACGATCACGATGTCCTCCAGCTTCTTCTTGCAAGCCATCCTCACGAGGTAGCCTCGAGAGAACCGCTGGATCGTGATCGCAGCGGCGTTGTCCTTCATCTTCTTGTACCTCTCCCTCGCCATCTTGCCTCTGCCGTACTTCTGGATGCCGATGATTGTGCGCTTGATCTTCAGGTACCGCTGTCTCTTCAGCCAGCCCTTCACGCGAGCTTGGATCTTTATCGCGGCTCTTTCTTCTCTCACCGCCTGAGCCTTCTGTCTAGCGATGTAGCCTCTGCCGTGTCTCTGGAGACCCAGCACGGCACGCCGGATCTTTCTGTACCTGTTACCACAGATCAGACCTCGCACCGTCTTCTGGATCATGATGCAGGCGTCCCGTTGCCGGTCCGCGCGCAGCTTCTCCAGGTAGGCAACCTGGCCGGCCCGGAAGAGCACCTTCGACTTGCCGAACTTGAATTTGTCATCGTCCTTGATGTATCTGCACAGGTGATTAATTTGTAGAGTCTGTGAAGCCTCGCCACGTCTTCTTCATAACTCTGACCTTGCCATACTAATCCTTACAATTCCTAAAGCCCCACCACTCAAGTTAGATCTTATATACTTAATTTTCTAGACAGATGTATTCGCATCATTCACGCACTCAGAATTCATTACCAAAATAAAAGGAGCTTAAAGCAGAACAAATGCTAAATTCTCCGATCGATAACAATAAGCGTTCCGGGTTTCGAGAGTTTCGAAATCTCGCGAAGTTCTGGATTCGAGTTTCGCGAGTCTAAAAATCAGGTTTCCAGTCATCTCGACTTAAAAAACCCTTCCATGCTAGTCTCGGTAGTATAAAAAATGGGTCGAACCTCGCCAAAATACGCCTGCAGGTCTCCTTCAGGTCATCGCGTCTTATCTCCTTGAACTTGCACAGACACCTGTATCTGAGGAAGAACTCCCCGTACGTCCTCTGACTGGGGAACCCAGCAGCAGATATCCTGATGGTTTCCAGCACTCCACAGGCTCTCAGCTGTTGAACAGCTCGAACAGGATTGTACTCGAAAGCCTCCTTCGTGTCGTTCGGCTTGATACAGCGTACGTAGTGCGGCGTGGTAGCGTTCAATGTCGACATCAGCATGTTCAAGGAATCTCTGAACTGAGATCCCACCTGCGGATCAAATCGCGACAATGTAACTTCTGCCACTTTAACTAGAAACACGAAGAACAATTCTCTGTATACCGTTTTCTTGTTTTGCTTGGGAGTCACGGGCGCTGGCTTCTGGGCCGATATTTTCAGCCTGATGTTAGACGGCACGGATAGCTTTGGGTCCTCATCGCTGAAAAGCTTTTTCAATATTTTGTTCTGAAACAATTTTCACAGGTTCTTTAACGAGGCACTTGAACAACTCTCAAGGAAATGCTGGCTGCTGATGTTTGACACAGCCGGACTCATAAAAGATTTGTTAGAATATAGAATATAGTCTCGAAAATACGTCTACAAAGTATTAAGTTTGAAGTCTTGTAATTAGTTCTGAACAACTGAACTAGATTGATCCTCTAATCGGTCAAGCTTGTACAAGTCCGATTGTGGCAAAAATGGTCAAGGTGCGACAAACTCGTAAAATATCTCTCGACCCATCCAGGACCCGGACCTAAGTAATTTTACAAATTTATTACACCTTGGCCAAGTTGCCGAATTGCTCTGTTAACGCACATCTCCGTTCCTGAGTGCGTCGACCTGCTCCTCGATCACGGTGTCCCTGTTCTTCTCGAGGAAGCCAATGGTCTCGTACTGCACCAGGTCAGCGAAATGGTGGATGAGGAAAGCGGAAGTACCGAACCGCGGCTTCTCGAAGTGCTTCGACTTCCCGCACTTCGCGTAGAGCTTCTCCGCCCAGGAACTGTCCGACCCTTTCGGCATCTGTCGTTCGAGCAAATCGCTTAGACAACTCGCCTCGGCTAGACCTCGACTGGAATTAGAAGTTCTTACTGACTCTGCACTCTTCGTCCAATAGGTCTAAGATGCCCAGCTTCGTCTCGATCAGATCGATGCAAGGCTGATTGTCGTAGAAGTCGATGAAGGTCCACTCGATCTCCTCCCGCAGGTACTCCTCCTGCTCCAGCTTGAACACGTGCTGGTTGAACTGCTGCTGCAGCTTCTCGTTCGCGTAATTGATGCAGAACTGTTCGAACGAGTTCACCTCGAACGTCTCGAACCCGTAGATATCGAGGACCCCGATGAACCACTGCGGCTTCTTCTGCGACTGCAACGAATTGTTGATGCCGGCCACGATCCAATTGAACAGCTCCGCGTAGATGTGTTTCGCGAGGGCATCCCTGGCGCCGATCGCCTGATCCACGTTCATGGGTTTCAGAAACACCTCCCTCATCGAGACGATCTTGCGGTGGCACAGCCACTTTCGCATCGCCTTCATGTCCGTGCCTAACAGCTCGCATATCGTCAAGAGATGCTTGTCCGACGGCTGGAAGATCGAGCAACACGGTAATATTGTAAAACAGCCGTGGAAGCAGAGTTGGCCGCGAAAGCGCCTGACCTCCTTGCGGAATAAATGCTTCATTGTTCACGTAAAGAGTCCAGATATTGACACCTTCGGAGCAGGAAAGCTCAATGGGCTGCGCGAGAAAGCCGTCCCTTTGATCCGCTGAGCGGGATCCGAAGGTAAAAAGGAAACTCGCTGGGAGATAAAAAGAAAAAGAAGGCCGCTCCGTAAAGGGAATTGCTGGTCCCTTTTCTTGAATCTCGTAGCCCCTTTGATAAGGAAGACGGCGGTTCTCTGGAGAAGGGAATTGCCGGATCTCTTTAGCCGAGGTAAGCAGTGGAAATCGAGGGGCCTCGCCGCGAAGGGAAGGTAGCTAAATTGTTAATGGAGGTCAGGCGCCTTTCGACCGTCTGCACCGCTCGAGACCGCGGATATTTACGGAAATGTAGCTGGCCTCGGTGTCGTTGACATTCGCGTTCTGCACGTCAGTGTTTCTGATATCAACATTGCCTAAATGAATGATGGCCGCTAAAATGCGCAGCATGTCGTCCTGCTGTTTAGACGTGAAACCGAGCATGGTGAGCGCGGTGATCGTCTCGTCGAAGCACGTCAGATCGTCGACACCGTCGATCAACGGATTATTTCCTTGGTTCAGATAGTGAAACTGATTCTGATGACCTAGATGCAAGTGCGGTAGGCGAGACGCGGCTGCGCACATTTGGTAAAATACGTGATAATTCCTTTCCTCATTCGCCTAGGGAATTGCTCGTTTATAGTAATCGGCATCAGAGAAACCAGACCGCCGGCCGTTATCGTGTTCGAATCGCTACTCGTAATCGTTACCTGAAACACCACCCGCGACTTCTCCAGCAGATAGGTCCGCATACTGGCCCCGGTTATGTGATAGTGCTTGTTGAACTGTATCTCGATGAACTTGCCGAATCTCGACGAGTTGTCGTTCCTCGTTGTCTTCGCGTTCCCGATCGCCTCCATGATCGGCAACGAGGCCAGCACCTTCTTCTCCACCTGTGTCTCCGTCGTCGAACCACCCACCGTCGCGAAATATCGCATCGTGTACTTGGCGGATACCGTCTTTCCGGCTCCCGATTCCCCGGAAACGATGATCGACTGATCGTGGCCCTCCCTGTGTTCATTCCGCGAGAATCGTTAACACGCGAACTCCCAGTAAATCGGGCCGCGATCGACACGTTCACTGTCCCGAGGTAGGTCCTGCTGACCAGGAAGACCAGTCATCCCGTTCGCGTTTTCTCTTTCAGTCATCTGGTCCGGTTTTCTCTTTCAATCATCTTCGCCCCGTTTGCAATCGTTGCCGTAACTGCCGTAACTAATTAAATTGAGAAAGGCAGTAATTTCTGAAATAGAACGAACTACTTTGTCGCGTTCTCTGCACGCTATTTCAATCGGGTCAACTCGATTATCCTTTAATTACGTTCGATATGTAGACCGCGATATTTATGCGTTTACAAGAACAACCATTATTAGATTGGCGTACACGAAACGTCGGATTTTTCAATGAACAAAGTTAATAGATCGAAGGAAAAATAGTAGAAATATCGAATAGGACTGAAAGATGCTATTGTCGTCAACTCATCGACGTTATTAGGAACAATTGAAATTGCAATCAGTGCGGTCCATTTTTATTTTGCCCAACGCGTTGACCTTCTGTCTATACCTGACCGTTCGGGATGCGAAAGTCGCCGCCTGATCGGCAGTCCCGAAAGTGGTCAGTGAACGTGTCGACGGGAATAATCGCGAACCTTTCCAGTTTCGTGTAAGCCTCCTCGGCAACGGCGAATATGTGGGGCTCAAGGTCGCCCATCGCCTGTCCCCTGTACGCCCAGATCGTGTCATTTCCGTAGATTGGAAGCTCGTTGTAAGGATTGAACGCGACCAGCACGATGCCGCAGTAAGTGTAGATGCAGTGCCTCTGGAAACGTATCTGGAGATTGTATAGGACAGCCGGCTCGTGAAGGAACGACAGGGACGTCAGGTTATTCTCCCCTATGAGAATGTCCGGGTTCCGCAAGGGTGGCAGATCGATGTCCGACGCGATCTTCAGAACCTTCGTTTGTTTTGTGTCGTTCGTCCGAACTTTTAGGCTTGGCTGCTTCACTTTGTAGTCCTCGAGAAGCACCGCGCCTTCCCAGACCTTCTCCGGATGCGGCACCCACACCCTACCACCCTGGGGAACACACATCGTTCGATCATCGTGCGCTTAGGTCGATTTAAGGGTTGGGGGACGTGTCGCGGAAATGAGACCAATGGCCTTGCTTTGCTATTCGGTTCAGCGGAAGTCAAAGTGATTCGGAGGGGGATGATTTGGTGGGATCGTTGCATCTTCGACCTTTCTGAATCCTTTGTGAATCCTCTAAAACCACTAAATCCTCTAAATCTATTAAATTTACTTGAATAGAGAATATCAATTCATTTCTGAACCCAGTGAACTTCGATGCGGTTTTTAACCCCTTGCACGATCACATTATACTTAATGCATTAAATATGAATTGAATCGAAACAACATTCGAGTCTTCTGTTATCAAAATCTAGGAATAAAGATAAACGAGAGAATTTTATCGAACAGAATTAGAAAATAGAATTAGAAATTTATCAACTAGAAATTGGAGAATTTATTTTAGGCGAAAAAGTGCCACTCAACGTGGCCGTGAAAGAAATATTGCTGCAGAGGGTTGAACTCTTTAAAATCGTGAAATTATTTTCGTTCTGTTCGCAATGTTTCAGAAGCGTAGCTTAGCCAAGAATAGCAACGAAGCGGCGGAGTTAACTGTCCTTGCGTTTTAATTTGCGATAGGAGTGATAGTTTTGAATGGAACTACCTGTGGACACTGTGAGAGGCTCGCTGGTCGACCGTCGTTGAATCATCGACTGCAAAGATGGCTTCCCGAAGCACGTTGTTCAACGTCGCGAACGAGCTCGCACACAGGTTAATTACTCAGCGTCTAATTGTCGCGCCCGTTTGAAAAGATGACCCGCTTTTCCTCGTTCCCTTTTCATTTTTCCCATTTTCATGAGCGACGCACGTATGGAAATGAGGTCGGCGATACCCGTATCGATTCCAACGGCCACGAACACTCCAAATCGCGATTGGTGATCGTGTTAACAGCCGCAATGATGTTCCTATTGTGCGAACGGCGATAAAATCGTCCGCCATTTTTACAACGGGGGTTCGGACGCACAACGAGGAGTGGAAAAATTGAGCCAAGACAACGACGGATTCTTTAAAACGGGGAATATTTTTAGCCGATTCTATCTTGTGCAAACCGACTGCAAGGATATTGAAAAAGACATGGTTTAAACGCCTGCTTTTATCTTGTGCAAATGGATTAGAAAAGTATCGAAAAGAATGTAGCTTGCACGGCTGATTTTATTCTGCTCGAAGGTTGACATGAGATTAAACGAAGAATAAGGAAACTTATTATTTTGTAATCGTTTCTGCAGTATAACATATTGTATTATTTCCTGCTTCTTTTTTTAGTATTTCCTTATTTCTTTATTCTTTACAATATCTTTTTATACCTCACGTTTCACTGTACATTGTGTAACAAAGAGTTCTTCCCTTTGAGTAATTCCATGTTACTTTGCAGAAATAATATAACCGATATAGACATAATGTATGCTTGAATTAAGACATTTACTCAGTCATTTCCTGTGAAAGTGTCCTTATAATCAGAACAAGTTTAAAAGAGTGAATGTGAGATTGGTCATTTGAACTGGCACGACAGGTGAAGCATTAAAATAAAAATAGGATACGAGCACCGGATCGGTTTCCCGAAAATCAAGCGATAGAAGCACTAAATCTTCACTTCGAAGTTAAGCTCAGAATATTCGCCTCCAGAAAAGCTAACATTTCGCGCATACTTCTACGCGAAACATCCTCCAGCCAGCACGACCGCAGTGCTAAGATTCAGAATGCGTTCGGGATTATTGATCGCGGACAATCTGTACGTGCACTCGGAAATAGCCTGAACGCGGGCGTACTGTATTTTCCTATACGGTGGAAGAATCGCCTAACGGTCTCCCCAGGAATTATGGGCGAACGATGTCGCGACAGCGAGCCATGAAACGCCGAAACGTGCTGTTACCGCTTTAGAAACCGCGCCGTCGAAAGAGCGGTTACGTGATCGGAACAAATATCGGACAACGGTAAAGTTCACTGCTACCATTTCCCACTGTTCACCTTGACGCTGAGGTCCGGTTCGAGGGACCCAATTTCGACTGGCCTGTCTTCGCCGCTGGGAAACAACGGCCAGGCAGCCGAACGGAGTCCGCGTGCTCGGAAAGAAGTGAAAAGCAGCCATGAACTATCGCGGATCTAATCTTGTATGTCAACTGTTACGCAACACGCGGCTCGAAGGACGCTGAAAAAAAAGAATTGAAGAATGGCGGCCGGGTGATCACGCCCGAAGACAATTCGCGGCACCGTCCGACGCCTGTCGCGGGCCCAGGACTTTTATTCGCGACCGCAGAGAACGTCGGTCGCCGCGTGAAACCGCGTTACCATTTTCGCGATCGCTGACTTCGCGCTATCAAATTGCGTAACGCGAGGTCCACCGGTGCGTCCGCGAATTACATGCATCGTTTCCCAACTACGGCCTTCAGGACTCCTCGCGGATCCCGCGGCGACACGCGAGCAAATCGAGCGGGTAAACCGATTCGAGACGCCGATACAAAGTGCCGCGTCACGCGTTCCGAATGAGGAGTTAGGCTCCTTTCCACGGGGACTCGCGATAAATCTGTTCTCACGATTTTGAAGATTAATCCACGGTTAAAGTCTCGTTTAATTTATGAAGTTCGCGCGTGCAGACGCGATTCCCATGCTTTCTACGTTACATAGCGGGCAGCGATTACTCGGTTATGGCTTGCCCGCGGAAAAAGCGGAACCCCGGCGGGTTCCCACGCGGCTCGCTCATTGAAAATGTGATCAGAACACCGGCGGAATAGCTCGACTGGCCGCTCGACGAGCGACAATCGTCTCGGATGAGAATGACTTTCCCTTTTTTCCTGCGCGAATTAATCAGACAAAGCGAAGAAAGGAGGCATGCCGCGACTCCCATGAACTTATGTAAAGACGAGTCCGCCACGCAAACGTTCTGGGACCATTCTTCGACCCTGCGTTCTCTCTCTTAGGTCACCGTTTCTCAACACGACTGTGCCGCGAAAAAGATGTTCTTCTCGTATATCGTTCTTTGAACGATGTTCCGCGCGAAGTTAATCCGCGAGGGTTTTCGATTCTTCGGATTTCTACCCCGTGCGCAAAACTTGTCATTCGGATAAATAAATATATTATATAATCGTAACACAGCGGTGTGCGTTAGTAACTTTCACATCGTTACTGATATCTGAAAAGTTAACGAAAATACCATACCATAATTTCTATTATTTCTAGTATAGAAATATACAAACATGATGTTCCGTTAAGTTTTTGTTCAAATATTATTAAGAATTTAAAAGTTACTTCGAGCATATAATTATTCACACCAGTATATATAATAAATATGTATTATATATATATATATATATATATATATATATATATATTGAATTTATTTATATTTATTATATGGAAACTATGAATACAGATATTATGTGTGGGGTAGAAATATACCGGGAAAGTCCTTGAGGGTTGAAACACCGAGTTCTCCTCGGAATGGCAACTCGAAGTTAGTATTTTAGAAAGTTGCACCGTCACAATGGTACTTTCGGTGCAACATCGCTACGTCTACTGGAAACAGAAGGGCTCCAACAATTACGGAACCAACGATGAATTGTTTTCGCGTCGGATTACGATTCCTGGAAGTTTAAATATTGGATTGTACTTGAACGGCGGCTTAAAATGTAGCTTCCCAGTGTTGCTGAATATCAAGGCAGCCTTGGCGCCTGTGCGAATGCAGACCACTCGCATGTTGTGTCTGAGCTTTGCCAACCGATCTATGGCTTCTGTCGCGTTCCACCCACGCCGCGTTTCAATGTTCAAACTGCATCACTTTTTACCGAACCCGGCCGTCGTTAAACAATCCGCAGCATTGCTGTCCGCTGTTACGCCGATGAACCGCCGATTAATTCTATATCGATCTACATACAATCGAATCTCTCGCTGAGTAAACATACAGATAAAAAAGAACAGCTTTAAAAATTCTTCAAAAGATTCCACGATTAATTAAGCTACAACGAGTGTACGAAATCTCCGAGATACGCCTTCTGCAAAAATAAAAACGATTCATCGACGGATTCGTGGAAGTTGCCGGTCTTTCTTATCGACCGATCGATGACACAGTGCTAATAGAACAATGTTGCTCGCGCCACCTAATTGCGTTTAACGAAGAGATAAGATTCGGCTGCAACGTCAATCGTCATCGGGAGCTCCACGTTTCGTACTGTCCCTCCTCGCGAAAGTAGGAAGCGGATGAAGCCCGCAATCTTATCAACAGCTGCGAGGCCGCACGCGAGTGTGTGAATCAGTTTTGCCAGAGATGCCTCCCATTTGAACAGACATTGATAACGGGCGTCGACGGCTGCAGACGTCTCCACGCACGCGATTACGACGTGTACACGTGGCCGTTCGGGATCGTTCTGTCTGCTTATCGATTCAAAGGTAGCGGCGGAACGGGACGCGGAAACCTTTCTCTTGAAAATTAAGACTCTAACGTAATAAAGCAAAAGAGTCGGGGGCGCGATACAAGCATAGAAATTGCACCGTTCGGTCACCTTTAAAAACGGCAGAATAGCCGCGTTACGGCTTATCGCGGTGCCGGGATCGTTTACTCGTTACATTTTACATAACATTCGCATCCATTGTCGACCAACTACGGACACGTAACGTTCGTCAATATTTGCGCTGACCATGGGAGCCGCCTGTATCGCGAATGCCCTTTGTCAGAAAAATTGTCCCGACGGTTTATTCTTCCCGGTGAAACGCGAACAATGGAGGAACACCTACGACTACGGCCCGCACCTCTCGCTCCGCGAAATTTTCCGCCTTTATCCTCCGCGCTCGATCCAGAGCGAAACATCCCTCGAGCAAGTGGAACGTTCCACTTCGCTGTGAAAATTCGGATTCTTTGCTCTTGTTCGTGGGAAGACCCGAGAATTCGTGCAGATTTCTATGCGCCAATCGCTGAAGCTGGTGGAAGATACTTTTTAAAGTATCTAGGTGGACCAGTTACT